GTTCAACTGTAATTAGTTACTCAAGCACCAGGTATGGGCAAAATAACTCACTCTTTAAAATAAGTTGGTTGGTTTGCGGCTTATTATTATTATTATATATATTTTTAAGGTAAAGTACAGTAACACTATTAAGGTTTGTAAAAAAGGCACACGTATGAAATTTAACTTATCAAATACACTGTAATGAATTGACATTGGCCAATTTAAATTGTTCTTTTAACTTTTATATTGGCCAATTTAAATATTAAAAATGACGTTTTTAACCTCATACACGTAACCATTTCTTTTCTTCTGTCCTCTGTTCTCTCTTCCTCCGCCCCCAAAACACCAACACACGCATATATGCACATACTTCGTCTGTCACAACACCTCCCCCCCCTCCCCCCCCCCCCCCCCCCACACACACACACACACACACACATACAGACACACACACATGTATATACAGATACACACACACACACACAAGGCGGCGACGGCGAGCCGCCTCTCCTCCACCGTCGACCGACTCGATCCTTTGAATCCGACGAGGCCGACTCTAAATCCGTGGCCCGCCTTCGATTCCATCGCTGTCGTCGCTGCATATTGCCGGGCACCATAACGTCATTGCCGCAAATCGCCGCCACCATGGCAGACCGTTCCCACCTGGTCGTCATATTGCTTTCACGGCGGCCTTTGTTGCTGGATTGGTGGTTGTGGATTTTGGTGTGGTGGCGGCGCCGGTATATTCACATCCCGCCTTCGATTCCATCGACCCATCAGGTTGTTTACAAAATCCACTCTGTTCTTCGTCTCTCTCCACATCCCCACCATTTTTCTCCCAAAAAGACACAGTATTGAGCTGCGAATCCGAATACCCATTGAGATTAAGGCCCCTTCTTGACGAATTGAACATGGGTTTTGCGAGAATGGAATTAGGGGATCTAGATTGAGACCCATCTTGAAGAACATTCTGAGAAAACCAAAGAGAAAGTGAAAGAAGAACCAGAATCTTGGGTTCTTCAAAAGCTTCGCCTTTGAGCTTTTTGAAGATTTTTTTGGAGAGAGAAGGAGAGATTGAAGCGAAGATGAGGAGAGAGAGTTGATTATCTGAGAGGGAACTGAAATGTAACATTGTTTCTTCGACTTTGCCATTTCGCCCATAGAGAGAGAGCTTAGGGAGAGAGTCTCTGTTGGTGATGAAATTGTGATGTTAGAAAGCTTTTAGAGAGAGAAAGTAACGGGTTGAGAGAGAGAGTAAAATGGTGCGGGCAGTGGGGCTGGTGGTGATTTTGGGGGCTTGTTTGTGTCGGTGGTTGTGGAGATTGGTGAGGCGGCGCGGCGCCCAAAATCTGGTGGTAGGATTGATTGGTTGTTGGAGGATAATTTGGTCATTTAATTATTTTGATATTTTATAATTAAAATTAATAAAATAGTGAAGGTTAATGTTGACTTTTTACATATTTTAAGGCTTTATTTGGCATGCAAATCTCATCAGGCAGTGTCGGTATTCCAAAATAACATCCGAGTGTCCTTTGGAGTTTTAATGTTCTTTGGAGTTTTGACAAACTTCAAGAATGTTGCTTTACTCTGTTTTTTATTTTTTATTTTTCTTAAAAAAAATAAAAATAAAAAATAAGGAAGAGTAGCAATTTTTAAGAAAAATAAAAGCACGTATTTTTCAAGATTTTAAAATTGAACAGTGAAGTAAAATGAAGAGAAATCCAATATGAGAATAATGTTTATTGTGAATGTTTGAATTGCCAAAAAAAAATAATAATAAGGAGAGAGAGAATAACATATGTTTTCATAAAAGCTAGTGATATATTTTTCTTTTATCTTTAAAATAAAATTACAAAAAAAATCCTAAATTAACAATACATAATTCTTACATCTTAAATGTCACTATTACCCTTCCTTATTAAGATTAGGAGTCTTTCTAAATTCTAATTCCTTAATTTCTCACTTTTACGTTTCCTTAACTTCTCACACTTATTACCTAATTGTCTACTACAAGTCAATGACCCAAACACATCCATATTATCATATTACCAAGTCTATCATTATATAAAATAGTAAATTTACCAAGCAAGAAGTTTGATTGAGTCAGTAAACCTACCAAGTCTATCATTATATAAAATAGTAAATTTACCAAGCAAGAAGTTTGATTGAGTCAGTAAACCAAATTCTCAAATTGTGGAAGTACTGTATTGTGATCCTTGTGGAAGCCTTTCAAAAAATAAATTGTTGAAGCGTTATTTCTTGTATCACGTACCGGAATAATTTATCAATAATACCAATTTGGAATTAAGTACGTGAATAATTTTTAAATAATACCTAATATAGTAACACCATGATTATTTTTATATTTAACATGAGCGAGAGATGACCGAAAAAACAGTAAAGAAAAAAGATAAATAAATTATAATTCATCAGGACTCTTAACTTAATAGAGAAGGATAATAATGATATTTAAAAAAGTAAGAATTAATAAGTTCAGTTTTTGAGAGTTTTTTTATAATTTTATTCTAGAAGAAAATAAAAGTGGAACGCTGATATCAGAAGTCTTGGTAAAAAGTTATCGCGTACCCTATTCCTCCCCATGCATTAATTTACTTGGCCAAATCTGAATAAAGTTGATTGAGTTGAGAGTAAAAAATTCAAGGCGGACAAAAGAAATTTAATGGCATTAATAGACCCTATCAACTTGGTAATATTCAATTCGTTAAAAGGAAAAAGTAGTAATACTTGCCAATAAAGAAATGTTGTTGGTATTATATAATTAAGTGGACCTTCTTATTAAAGTAAGAATTGACTAAACAAGAAAAGACACGATCAATTGTATTACTTACTTTTTGAATAAATATTACAAGACCATAATGGAATTCTGTTTATAGTTGGCCTCGGTCATTTCCAAATCTGTGGGCTAGAAATTTTAATTTGGCACTTGACCTCCTGGTTCTACTTTTATCCAGGTTATGACTGTTGAGGGGATGCTCTCTGCCTCTTTTATTCTTTTGACTGTTTCCTTAGCCGTTCACTTGTTTTGTTTTTTATTTTTTCACACACACACACACATATTATTCTTTTATTCTACATAACGAAGAGCTGGTTGTTTTTCTGTGGAATGACTGGTACCTACGCTCCTTCGCTCAATACAACACAACATATACAATTTTTTTAAAAAGTAAATTATGAATACAGTAAGAAAAAGTTACAAAATAAGAATATAATATATATATTATTATTGACATAAATAATATTTCTTTTCCCATTTTATTCCTGTTATCATAAATAAATTAATAATATGAAGTTTAGAGTTAGATATTTGTTATTTTTTGTTTTCTTAAATTTTATTTTATTAGCTCATAATATATTTTATATAGTATTGAATTATATATTTTTTTAAAAAATCAACCCGATGTATCGAAAAGTGTCGAAAAACGTAATCTTGCTGTGTCCATGCCGTTTCCTACTAGAAAATAAAATATTCACTGTCCAAGATACTTTCACACAAGGATGAAGGAAATTGTGTGAATGGAGGCAATATGAGGATTTTTTTTTGTAATTTCAGTGGTACAATATTAAAATTTCGGAGTTATATAATTCAAAAGAGAAAAAAATAACAACTATGTTGTGGATCAATATCCAGAAATAAACATAACAAATTCTGATCTTCCTCCATTTCAGTAGCTTCATATACTTCCCTCAAGCTTCTCATTTTTCTGGGTCTTTCACTTGAACTCTCATCTGATGATGATAATGAGGGATCATTTCTTGAAGGTAAGGGAGATTGGTATGGAAAAATCTGTGGCACTGTTGCAACTTCTCTTGCTGCATTTTCTTCATCTTCTTCAAGAATGAGCTCTATGTTTTTAACAGCTTCATCCTGATCCCAATTCAAGCTTCATCTTCTTAAAAAATTACGTCTCTCTTTGGTGATGGGATTAAACAGCTTATATCCCATTGTTCTGTCACCATAACCGGCTAAGATGTATTTTTGTCCTTTGTCGTCAAGCTTGGTTCTTCTGGCTTCTGGGATCTTGGTGTAGGTAATACACCCAAAAATTCTGAAATGATTAGCGCTTGGTGTATAGGATGGTGTTGTTTGTTGTTGGATGCCGTGCTCTTTGCATGCAGTAGTTCTGAAATGCATTCGACATATATTCTCCTCTTTGATCTGATCGCAGTGTCTTGATATAGTAGTTGCTTTGCTTTTCGACAAGAGTTGGAATATATTGAATACTTCTGATTTCTTCTTCAAGAAGTAGACCCAAGTCTTTCTGCTATAATCATCAATGAATGTAAGAAAATACCTGTCTTGTCCTTTTGACATTGGCTTCAATGGATCACACAAATCTGTGTGAACGAGCTCCAGTGGCTTTGTTGCTTGCCATTTGATTTCTTTAGCAAAGCTCAATCTGTGATGTTTTCCAAGTACGCAGCTTTCACAAACTTCATTTGGATGCCTTTTACCATATTGTTGTTTGCTATCAACTTCAGGCCTTCAAAATTAAGATGCCCAAATCTCAAATGCCATAACTAAGGTTTGTCTTTAACAACAGCACTTAGACATTTTGCTGAATCGGGCTGAATGTTAATAGCAAACATTCTGTTCTTGGACATCTTTATTCGAGCAATAAGATTTTTATTTGTATCTTTGATGATTCGATACAAATCTTTTATGCTGATGTCGTATTCTAGACTTAAAATATTGTTCTTTATATCTGGAACGTTGGATATGAAATCATGATCCCCATTCTTGAGCTTGATCAGAATATTACCTTTTCCTTTTACCGGGATTTTTGTGAAATCACCAAATGAGACTTGTCCATACCTACATATGTGATACTGAAAAAAAAGATGAAATTAGTGGGGGCATTTTATCCGAGAAGTATTCTATACACTAATTCTATACCTATTAGTGCTTCGTACCATTTTAAGCATTTTATATCACTTGATTTTATTTTTAATCATTTATTTCAAAATAAAGAAATATTTGGAAGCCTCCACACATCTCATGATCAAATATTCAAATAAGATTATATTCAAAGAATAATGCAGTATAAAAAATACAAAGAATCATCCAATATGTTTCTACTCTCTGTTGTCAATATTTGAGATTCCAATTTATTTATTTACCAAAAAAAAACACTGTCGTCATTTCTATCACGTGCAAAAAAAACCAAGGCCCGTAATTGAAACAGACGTAAGGTTCAAGCTAATTCGATGAGTGGGATGACGACGACGTACTACCCGAACCTCCCGTTCCGTGAAACAAATCAGACAAGTAATTTCCCAAATCGTCAGGGGCAAATCTGACCAACGAATCATCGCCCAAATCTCGCCGGAACATCATCTGGTACTTGTCGTAAAACGCTAGGTAGGAGGGCACGAGTTTCTTGGCGAGCGAGACTTTGATTTCGTCTCGAAGTTTCGGGTCGGGCACGACCCAAGATGTCTGTTTCCGGTACACCTCTTCGAAGGCCGAGTTGAATCTCTTGAAACACTCCTTGGCTGCTTCAGGTGAAATATCAGCCGTTGGATTCTCAGGCGACGATGAGATCACTTTGCTCCAGCCCATCCGCTCGTAGTTCGCTGCGTACTGTCTCACCTTTGTCTCGTGATTTATCAACCAGTCTTCACCTAAGAGAAGCCGTAGGTTTGATGTGCCGACCTTCGAAACGACGTAGTTTAGGTTGTTTGCCAAAAATAGATAGGAGAGTGACACGTCCTTGTATAGCTCAGCTTTGGCGTCGAGTTTGCAGAGGAGGACCAGTATGATCCAAGCCAATCGAACGGATATCGACGACGTTGGGCTATCGTCGAAGCTAGGACTCGAAAAGTAAGATTCCGGCAACGGAGACTGTACGGACAACGGCCAGTCGGCGACAATGTCGGAGAGTATTCCGCTGTAGTCGGTAAGGAAAACAACGTAGTTCATTACGTAACGCGTCAGAGGATGAATTCCACCGCCGGTGACCGGCGATTTGGACGTGTCCTTTTGAATGGCCGTCTCGAAATCTGACAGCATTGCACGGACGTTTTCGCCCAGCTTGACGAGAGAATTGATGGCTTGTAAACGGACGGCGGTGGTTGATTCAAATGAGAAGATGGATTCTATTTCAGGCCAGAGGTCGGAGATGGACTCGTACAGATCGAGTACACGGAAAATTTTCTCCGGTGATTTCTTAGATTTGGCGACGAGTTCGGGGAATGCGAAGAGAGTGAGTGCGCTTTCTTTTGCAATCTCCGCAAAAGAGGACTCTATGATTCCGGCGGAGGAGGAGAAGACGTGGTCGGAGAGGATTCTCTCACCTAGGAAGACGGTTTTCACGGCGATTTTCACCGCGTCCAACCAGCTCTTGATCTTGATATCAATAACCTCCCAATCCATCTTATGAATCTGAGTCGAAGTTAATTTCTCAACTCCGAGATAGTACAAGCTTTCATCAATCATCGATTTTCGAATAAGTTTGTAAATCTTCATGCACTCCTTGCCATAGCCAGATGAAATCATGCAATCGGCGATCAGTTTGAGATCTGACATCACATTTTCCGAGACACTCTCCGCATCGGAGATTGAACTACCAGCAGTATTCTGAATCTCATCTTCAGATGTGTAATCTTCAAAATCTGAAGTGCTCGTTCTCGCCGTCGACGGTCCTGAAGACCGACTGGTAACAGATTCCGGATCAAGGTAGTTCCGATTCGTAGACAAAATCTGATAGAACTCTTTTTGAAGTCTCTTCATAGCGATTCCCATCAGGTTATGAGCTCGAACAAGCTTGTCGGAGCTCAAATTCTTTGATATGAAGAATTGCATCGCAGCTTGCAAGTCCTTCACGGATTTGACAAACTCCTTGGCCTCTCTCCTATCTTCGCTGAAGAGAGATGCAACTTTACAGTAGTCGGAAGCTTCAACCTCCCATTTTGTAATGATTGATTCAGCAATTTCGATGTTCTGTTCCATGATGGATTCAGATATGATGTCGGAAGGTGTCAAAAGAGAAAGCGAAGAAGTGGTAGAGTGCGAAGGTGATGAAGGCATGGATGAAAAGAAGATACTCCTCATACCTTTTCTTGGCATATCTATCTATCTATCTATATAAATATATCAGTTTCTCTCACTATATGTATAGGTTTTAAGTTTATTGTATGAACTGAAGATGCTTTATTTTTTTTAGAGGGAGAGAGAGAGAGAGGATGTGTTGCAGTCTATGGTTTGAGAGCTGAAAGTTCTCTGGAAAGGAGGAGATGTTAGAGCGAGAGATGAAGTTGACAAGAGTGAGAGACGTGCGGATGGATATATATAGATGTGTGTGGGGTGTGGGTGTGTTTACTTTAGACTCGCACCCGAAATGGTTGACTGTGTAACGCGGTCTCTCTATTACCTTTTTGGATTTTTCGGTTTTGGGTGTAAGCAATTACGCAAGAAGAAACTGATGAAAATTAAGGAAGCTTCGCACTGATTTCCGTGGGGAGGAAATTTGCAAGCTAAGCATGAGATATATATATATATATATATATATTGACAATCCATATGTTAGAGGAAGCTCTAGCTGTTTCCTCTTAATATTTACATGTTTTGGGTTAGTTTTTGTAATTACAAGGCAAATGAAGAAAATCTACCCCTTTCCTCTCCCTCCCTTATTATTTAATTAAAAAAATAATAATTTTTGGAAATTTATCTTAACAAATATTTAGAAATTGTATACTATCAGCTATTATATATATTTAGAGCAAATGAAGAATCTCTCTCTTTGACAATTCTGTTCTATTGTTGCTTGAAAATGTTTAAGAGAGTGATATTTGATGTACCTATGACTTAGCAGTACAAGACTCCTACTTTTTTTTTAAAAAAAAGACTACATCATTATAATGTGAAAGTTCAAAGTCGGGAACAAATGTGTGTGTGAGTCTTTTTTTTTATTTTTTTATTTTTTTTTATTTTTCCAAGATAAGAAGGATTATAAGTTAAATTAGTAAATGTAGAGGATCGAAGTTAGATTACTATATGTATCATAAAAAAATTTCTATTTTAAATTCTAAAATAATTATCTAAACTTATATTTTATAATTTATTCTTTTGTAAAGTAGAGAATATTTATTAATTTGGTTTGATTGAAATTTATATTTTTCTAGTATTTATTGTTTAATTGAATATTATTAATAATTTAAATAATATAATATTTTATTTTAGTAAATAAGTTTTAATAAATAGGTCGAATTAGTGTTGAGGGTTACTCATATGATTATTAAACGGATTGTGTTTGAATTGAACTGTTTACTATAATACCTTCAAGTCGACACAACATGATTATGATCTACGAACATGAATTGCCATTGCCTACATTTGACCCTTTCTAATCCCGTAATAAGTGTTTTGCATATTGGGTTACTGTTTTTTTTTTTGGCTATAACTTTTGTAACTTAGTTCTTTTATAACATGAAATTTCATTTTACTGAGATAAATGAGTTAAATCCTGTTTATATTTCTTAAATATTAGTTGACCATTTGTAAATTTCTACTTATTTCTCTTAAAAATAAAAAAGAAAAAGGGAAAATAAATCATTCCAAAATTGTTTTCTTCCCCTGTTGCAATAATTTTCTATGTTATTATACTTGCCGACCTTTTTTTTTTTTTGGTTTCCTTAAACTTAAAGTTTCCATCTCACGAGTCACACAACCAAGCAAATACAAGCTCGCGAGAGTGCTTAGTCATTGCCATTAATGTCAACTTTGATTAATTAACCGCGTAAGCCTAGTCCAATCGTTTTCTTAATATACAGCTTTTTTCTTTTAATGCAATCTACACTGTAATTACTACTATTTTTCTTTCTATGTGCTCTATATATAATAATTATTAAGGTTTTAAAATTTACTTTAATTAACATATACATACGTATATATATATATGTGTGTGTGTATCAGCGTATATAAGTTCAAGAGCAAGACTATTAATTTCCAATATGCTTATTAATGTTCTTATATATTGTATAAATACAGTAGGTGTTTTGCGGGTGTAGGACCCTTTCCTGTAGTCCTGGGAGACCAAGTCCTTAAAACAGTAGCAGTTGGTACGTGGCATGTACATTAAAAAAACAGGCACACACACACACATATATATATATATATATATATATATATATATCATTGGTGAACTGTTTGACTATATATTTGGAAAATCACCATTGGACTACTGGTCCGAGTTCATGTTTTTCGCAGCCCTTAATTAATTTGTTTAGACATGCAAATGAAATGATACAAAGGATGACTCATGGCATGACATATAGCGGCAGATGAAATTGCCATTTCCGACAATCTAGCTAAGAAATAATATAAATAAAAATTTCTGATATGTTGGATTATACTTTTTGTCTGTTACTTGATGGCGTTTGTGTGCGTCTCTCTCTCCAAACACTCCCATACGCCATGATGCACAATTGAATTGAAATCCACTAACATCATAATCTATTCCAACACTAATCATATCATCCCTTACCATATATATATTCAATTTAATAATGTGACCGTTAATTGAACTCCCATAAGCCATGACGAAATTGAAATTCACTAAAATCATCCTTTTAGAAAATTAATCATCCCTCTCTATATTTGATTTAAAAATGTGACCGTTAAATTTAATTGAGGGATTTCATTCGTTAACAAGTTTGTATGAACTGAACTTGATTGTATTAAACATTGGAAATGATAACATTATATATATTGGTTTCTAGCTTGCATTGCTATATATTATGAGTTACAAAATAGTTCGAATATCTTAGCAATTTATTGAAATTGAAGGTGGTGCATGATATTTAAACGCCACCCAGGATTGCATTTTAGCTGTCTAGAGAGAGACTGATCGAGGAGAGAGAATGTATAATTTTATACATCTATATAATCATTGATTTGGTTGTTAGTGTTTCTTATAAAGTTGTTAGTAGATGTATTACATAGAATACTTTATTACGGAGTACCATGTTTTAATGAATAGATTATTGTGTGATTGGAGTAACTGCATTTGCATGAAAGGCACCAGGGTTTGAGGATAACACGTGTCCCTATTTCCTCCCCCATGCATTGAATTTCTCAAGTATTCTTGCAAAATCAACGATTCAATAAAGTTGATGATTTTGAGTTCAGACTGCAAAATTCAAAGCAAACAAAAAAAAAAATTAATTCGCAATGAAGGTACAATAATAGACGCTATGAATTTGGCAATATTCAATTCATTAAAAAGAAAAAATAATCCTCAATTAAGAAATGTTGTTGACACTATATAATTAAGTGGACCTTGTTATTGAAGTAAGAATTGACTAAATAAGAAAAAGTAAAGAAAAAGAAATGTTAATTACGTTTTGAAGAAATATCACTAATCATAATGGAATTCTGGTAAAGTTGGCCTCATCATTTACAAATTATATGAAGTAGAAATTTTAATTTGACAATTACTTTTATATAATTTATTACGTCATGGCTTCAGTTTTTCTCAACTCCCATAATCAACGAGGTCTTATTATATGATTAACGTAATGATTTTCTGATCTATATATTTGTCGGCTCCTTTGACTGATGTGTTCGCTTGGAAGAGGTGCATGAACCTGCTCACTTTTCTTATTATTACACATATTTAAAGAAAAAGGTGTCACGCATTGTCTTAATGAATGAACAACGTGTAATTGATTCTACCGGTCAGTCTTTCGGTGTGTACCAGTCGTCTTGATCCTTTTTTCGGCGATGCGCTTTTGATTTCAACTGTCTTATGCACCATTATTATTTTTCTTTTAAATTATTTTTTTTGGTAATTCACAATTGTTTAAATAAATAAATAAATTTATATATTTTATAATTTTTTGTGTGTAAAAATAAATTATTTTTTTAAAATAAGAAATGTTAAAAATTAAATTAGTAAATATAGTGAGTCAAAATCTAGCACTTCAAAATTTACGAGACATTAATTCACACAAGACATCTGAAAATAAATTCACAATTGATGTTAAAATTAATAGTGTGAATGTAGTTCAGGAGAATACTGGAAAAGGACATCACAAACCGCGTTAGTTCATTGGTCATATGAATGCAGGCATTAATCTGAACAAGTTGAACCATAAGCCAATTCACATGTAACGAGACAAAAAAAAAAAAAACAGAAAAGAAAAGAAAATCACATGTAACGGTTTGGACCTCACTATCCACACCAAAATTGCTCAATACCACCAATAAAAATATCTGCTTCACATATACTTTTTATAGTAACGTGTTCCGTTGGGTACAAAATCCACAATATCATTGGCCTTACATGTAACAACATATATGTAACTCCGTGTTTTAAAAAGAAAAATAAAAATATATATATTTTTTAATACAACAAATATACCAATAACATGACATTAGTTAACAAAATAATAAATTTGACCACACTTTACTATTATGTTAGTAGACACTTCATAGTAACGGTTACAACAACGATGCTCTATCACCTACCAACTAAATACCAACTCAAATATCATACAAATTGCATAAAGCATTAATAAAATTTAGAAAAAGACTAACATAATGTTCTAAGAGAAATGTATTGGCGACATTAATAATATAAACCCTCTTCTTGACAATGTTCTCAAATTCGAATTTGACTTGGAATGATATATATATATATATATATATATACCCACATAAAGTTTGTTGTTATTTCAGACAGAGTGACTATTCTAATACGCGAATTACCGTTTTAACGTTTGGTCATTGGACAAAACCCTCGTAGGCCATAGCCGGTTTCTTGTTCTGTTGTTAGGGCCTGTATATGTTGACTATATATATACAAATAATGTATACATGAATTTAGAAAAAAGATGTGAAGTCAAATGTTTTCACTAGGAACGACGTATACGGTTTGTATATATTTTTTGAGAATGACGCGTTATTTAGACACTGAAGTGAGAAACTTCTTGTTGAAAAATCTGGAGTTATTGACTTTAGATAGAAAGTGTTTCGCAGGAAACAAACAGTCTCTCATGGCTTGCGTTGTTTTTGGCTGAATAATCCAATGTGTACAATGTGTACATTTGACTTTTACATGCCTAATGATGCATGGATTGGTAAACGATGTGCACCTATAGCTATGAGTAACGTAAACCAGTCTAAAGCGAGTCTTGAACTTTGGTAAGAAAATGTAGGCAGTCCATCAAACACTTATATACTACATATTTAGCAAATAAATCTCTATAAACCCACAAGAGAGCTTTGCCTGGTTGAAAAAAAAAACTTGGGTCGCTCCTAGGTATAA